CAAGAATATCTGAACCCAAATAAAAATGGCCTGAGTGAGCCAGCTCGCCACGAGCCGAGCCCAAACGAGCTAGCTCGGCTGGCTCGGGAGCTGGAGTAAAAAAAAATTTACGTTGAAACTTGAAAGTGTTGATATTGTTGGTATGATATTTTGATTTGGAGATAATTTTTTATGTATAGATTCGGACCTGAAGATGGTTTTTTGTACATGGATTAAGATCTAATTGTATATGGATGGATTAGGATCTTTTTTGTACATGGATGGATTATGATTTTATCTATTTGAAAATGATTTTTTGTATATGGATTGTGATTGTGAATATAAGTATGATTTGAATGTATTAGTATGTTCTTTTTATGTTGATATATCATTTGGATATGATTTTATATAATTTGATATGATTTTTTTTAGGTATTTAGAAAAATATGAGCCGGCTCGGGAGCCGGCTCGGGAGCTAAGCGACTTGGGTTGAGCCAGAAATTTTCTGGCCCAAATAAAAATGGGCTTAACGAGCTGGGCTGAAAATGAGCTGGCTCGAAACGAGCTGGTCCGAGCTGGTCCGAGCCGGCTCGTTTGACATCCCTAGTCGAATCTTTCTTTCTCTAATCTTGTCTTCTGGTTCGTTCTAATCTTCGGAATCTGGTTTGCGGTGCCAGAACTGGTATCAGAGCCTGGTTGCAAAGAGGGACCTTCGTCGCCAGGAAGAGAAGCTCGACGCAGATCGATCTTCTCGGCTCAACAGGTGTCGGTTGTGAACAGGGTCCCAGGGAGGTTCATCGCAAAAAATATAGGTATCTTAGTGCAATCTAAGAAATCTGTGACCTGGAAAAATAAAGAAGAACAAACATGTTAGCCTGCAAATTAGATGTCGAAAAGTATGACGGGAAAGGAGATTTCTCGTTATGGAAAGATAAGGTATTAGCAAGCCTTGAGATCTTGAAGCTCCATGATTGTCTGAAAGTGGACTATGATCTTCAAGAATCTGTAGAAGATGTGGAATCTGTCAAGCAAGATCCTGAAAAACCAGGGAGTCCAAGTCTAGATCAATCCAAGTCAGGAATGATCAAGGAAACAAATTATGAAAGAAGTCGGAGGGTGAGGAATCTCATCTTGCTATGCTTGTCAGATTCAATCATGAGAAAGGTAAGAAAGGAGGAAACTGCATCAGCTATATGGAAGGCACTAGAAGAGGAATTCATGCATAAATCTCTCCCAAACAAAATGAACTTGAAGCAGAGACTCATAGGATTCAAGATGGATGAAGGGAAAACTATAGAAGAAAACGTTGATGTCTTCAAGAAACTGCTAAATGACTTGGCAAACCTGAAGATGGAGGTATCAGAAGAAGACCAGGTATTGATCTTGTTAAACTCCTTACCTGATCAATATGAACAACTAAAGGATACCTTAAAATACAGCAGAAGAGAGTCTATAACTCTAGATGAGATTACAGCAGTAGCATACTCGAAAGAACTTGAGTTTGCAGCAAAAAGGGGAAAGAATCAAGCTGAGGGACTCGTAGCAAGAGGAAGACCAGAAAAAAGGGAAAACCAGGATGGAGGAAAGAGGAACAAGTCTAGATCAAAATCAAAAGGAAAGTCAGGTTTGGCATGTTGGTTCTGTGGAAAAGATGGCCACTTTAAGCGGGACTGTAGGAACATAAAGAAGTTCCTAGAACAAAAGCCGAAGGAAGGCTCAGCAACAATAGCAAATTCAGACTATGAGACAGATGTTCTTACCATCTCGGATCAGGAAACACAAGATGAATGGATATTGGACTCCGGATGCACATTCCACATGACTCCAAGATTGGAATGGTTTGAAAGTATCCAAGAATTACAAGGGGGTAGAGTAATGATGGGTAATAACCAGACATGCGATATTAAAGGGATAGGCAGGGTAAAACTGAGGTTGCACGATGGATCAATAAAGACCCTAGATCAGGTAAGGTACATACCTGGGCTCAAAAGAAATTTGATATCCCTTGCCTCCCTCGACATTCTTGGCTACACATACAAATGCGAAGGTGGAAATCTGAGAGTTACA